AAAGGAAAAAGGCAGGGATGGCTTCCCAGCCAATACCTGGGGAAAATTTTTTCACTTACACTCTCTTCTATATACTATTCATAAGGATGCTACACATTTTCTTCATGATTAATTGGCAAGAGGTGGCCAAATAGCACCCAGCCTCAGTCTTTTCCACTGGAAAGGCTGGACCATGCTGATCTAGGAAACAGCACATCAGGGATGTTATATCACAAAGTTATATTATATCTACTTCTGCTGCTAGCAGAGAAATATGCCAACAGCTAAAAATTCTTTTGTTTTGTTTTTGTTTGTTTGTTTTTCATGTCTCTACTATACTTCCAGTCCAAACTTTATCTACACATATTGAAGAAAGCATTTTAAATATGATGATGGCAGTGGAGTTTTGAGCCTTTTAGCACCAAAATAGAAAAGGCAATGTACCCAAACATACAGATCTTGTCAGATGAGAGATTATGTAGCTGAAATAAATCATTCAGTCTCAAAGCTTTATAGCCAACTGTAGGCAGCTGTCAGCAGTTTTGATTATTCTTTATCTGTTTTTCCCCCAACATGTTCTAGAGTATTTACACATGAAATAAACTGGTATCTCATTCCCTGCACTGATATCATCTTTGCTGAAAATCTGAAAGTGATGTCAAGCCATATAATGTAATTCAGTCACACTGTTTTCCCCCTACCCACATTTGTAATTTTCCAAGCAACAGAGTAATTAAGACATTGTTATTCTTACACATAGGTACAGACAAAAGGGTAATTTGTCCAAGATCGCACCGAAGATCTGAGATGGGAAAAACCTCAGGACACCTGGTTTCCAAGGCCTATCCACAAATTATACAATCATAATTTTTTCCTCTATGGAAACGAATTCTTCGTGAACTGGCCAGCTTAAGGGCTAACAGTATGCATTAACCCAATATTCACATTTGTGCTGTATGGCTACCTTGCAAGAATACGGCACATGGAACTGGAATATTGTCTTTTTCATATGTACACAAAATTATGAGAACAATGCAGACAAGTCAGACAGACTCAGTCCCCAGGAAGACCCTTCTAAAGAGTACTGGCCCTGTTCTTTAGGGCTAAGCAAACATCGATATGGAAGTGTCTGGATTTTCATGAGCAATGTGTTATTCTAGAATGGTGATGTAAGCAGCCATAAAATAAAGTTTGCGAACTCTCCCCCGTAAGATCTTACATAAACACACTATAGGTATGACACAGGGGAGAGAAAAACAAACGGAGGATCCCTAGCAACAAAACCAGCATGATTACAAGAGTGGTTGGTTTGGAGGAGAAGTTAGGAGAATGCTTGTATCTCATCTCACCAATTGTACAGAACTACACTGCTATGTATACATGCCGCTACAATCCTTGTAACTTTATTCTTATTATCTTTTGTTTAAACTTGCATTAAAGTAAGTAATATAGATAAATTAGAAAATATAAAATTGTAAGGAAAATCATAAGCAGGTAAAAAGAGGTATGTTGAAGATAAAAAATATTACCAAAAAGATAAAAATCAAAGAATATAATTTACTACTAAAAGTTACCACAATTTTCTCTCTTCAACATCCCTACTCTTTGAAAACTGATGAAGATAAAATTTTAATAAGACAGTTTCCCTAGTTTTAGGTAATGAATACACATATTTTCAAATGAAACATCAATTTCCTGCAGACTTACATTTGCAGAATGCAGCCACATGCTATATCTAATCAAATTGCAGGCTGCCACTGAAATGACTCCATCTACTTGCTGCATGTTGCACCTCCTTGACATCTGATTTTTTAATGAAACCATTGGTGATCCAGTAGAAAGCTAATTTTATTTCATTGAAAGCGATTTTTTCCTCTTTCAACAATTATGTGACTGCAGAGAGTTGGATCAGCTCATCCAGCAAAGACAGGCAGCAGAGGCTTGTAGGGGCAGCCAACTTGTGGTCAGAATTGGTATGGTGCAACCTGAATCCGTGTGCTCGGTCTTGGATTTACTTCACAAAAAGTACTTGTTGTGAACCAAACAGCTTAAGCAGGCTACGCTTCCCTCCAAAATCTTGTTAAGTAATGTCAGCTTTGTTCCAGCCTGCCAAGTACACACCTCTTCATTGTTCTGATACTTAAGAATGCTTACAGTTTTATTCTCCTTGATATGTGTGGTCAAGATAGTTTCACAAAACTGAATATAAAAGTTTACTTTGAGTTCTCACCAATAACATTGCTAACACTGTAAAAAAGCAAGGTCCTATCCTGTCTTCACCTTGAAACGTCAGTACCCTCAGATCACGCACCTTCCTTTACTTCCTACGTAATCAGATATATACATTGTACTACATTAGTAGATTCAGCAAAACTGGTAGCACTGCTAGTTATAGTATGTTTGCAAGACAATATGATCCCACTATACAGTGCTAGTTGTAGTTCTGCCAGGAGTATTGAAATAACACAGGTAATTAATGATAATCACAATATTTCTCAGTCTTCAAAATTCATCAAAGTCTACATCTGCACTATCTTCTTCAGACTTCAACAGATTACCATGTCTCAGAAAGAAGATATCCAAGAGATCTTGAAGCATCTCGGAACACCTATACCCTATACCATTATTTTCAAAAGACCAAATATTCTGTAACTAAAAACCCACTCATCCAATGCTCTGTACACCTGCAAAAACAATAGCTCAGGTTTTAAATGCCTGGCCGTAAACAGTTGCAGAAAACAGCACTCAGCTAGTTGGGAAGCATGTAACACTCAAATAACCAAATCTTGTTTCCTCAGAGGAAAAAAAACTGTGGGTTGGATGGAAGTATCCTGCAAGTTACGCTCAGCTCATAGTCCAATAGCTGAACCATACTTCCATAAACAAAGGAAGGAAAGGTTCCATAGGAAAACCTCTTAGCTGCTTTAGTACAGGAAGAGACATGATCAAAAAAGTGCTTTGCCAAGTCTTTTTCATTTTTAATAGAGAATAAATGGAATCTATAGTAATAGCAACACTCATCAAGATTTAAAACCAGAGGAAGCTGACCTCTTCTAAATAAGCCTCCTGCTTTCTCTATAAAGTCAATCTGTCTGTTCCATAGATACCTTGCAGAGATAAAGAAAGAAATCAGCACAACATGCAGAAAGTCTCCAGGGATTAGAAGCACTGTCACACGGAAGAAGTAAGTACTGCCTGATCTGCAAAGTAGCATCTGGAGGGAGGTCAAAATTGAAGAACTCTTCCCAGTAAGATGCATCGAAGGAGAAATACAAAATCTTTAGATCTTACTCTTTTGGTCAGTTGTCTACAGATTAAACACGCTTACACAGAGAATGCTTGTACTTCAAAGTTATTTTAAAAGCCTGTACAAGCAAAAGAACTCCAGAAAGACCATCACTTGTGAAGTCCCTAAGATGCCACACAACACATCAAACAAGATGGATAACACATGAAAGGTCACAACCATTATAAAGAGTAAACTAATCACACAAAGCATCAAACTGTTTTCAAAACTGAAACCAAACACCAAGAGAACATCAGCTTGTTTTTCACAAGTGAAACTGGGGGGAGGGAGGGAACTAGGATGAAATACACCACTACTTTATGATATCAAAATTACTGCATTTGCTGAAAACAAACGCAACTCCTCAGTAATAAACCCTTCATAAGGAAATGTTAAATCCCTCCTTTACGCCACACAAATTAACATACAAAACTGGCATGCTGCTTAATGCCAAACCCACACCACCAAAGGTATGTGCTAGCCTTTCTTAAACATAGTGATTGAACTCTGACCTACAAACTTGACTTTGAAATAGAAATACACAACACTTAAGTTAATTGCAACCTCGCTAAAAAAGTAGTGCTCCCCACATAGCAAGTTACATTTTTGGCATCCTCAGCTAAGGTGAATGAATTATGGTATTCTCAAACTTCCAACATGTGGCATGCTAGTCACAGAACTACACAGGATGCAGACTGATGATGTGAAATACATGATTCTTAGTATTTACTTTTTCCTTCAGAATAGCTCTGCATTCTGAAGGAAATTAAACATTAAACACTCATCCTTGTTAAAGATGAAAAAATAGCAAATTTAAGTTAGAAATGCTTTTGACAGAGGAGTCATTATTTCCTGCAGACTGAAATCTTTTTTAATGTTATGACACCCAGTATTACTAAAAATCCTGTTTACCAGCTATTCACAACAAAAATAATGTTATCAGTTATTCAAATTGCTTTAAGTGATTTTGACAACTTGAGGAATACAAAAATAGACCAAGAATGTTTAAATTTTTATAGACTATAGCAAATCGATGCAATAACCATCTGATTAAGCAAAATAAGCAATATTTAAGCAAAATGTACTTGCTTTTCTCTGTTCATCATCTTTGCAGTTCTGGAGTTTTTCATCAAAGAGCTAAAAAAAAGAGGTACTTGTGAAAATACTGGAAGTGTTATTTTTCCATATAAAATCAGCCAGAAACACCAAAATTTCAAAACCAAAAGCATTTAATAAGTACTTAAGTTATACAATCCTGGTATTATGACCCAAAGCAGTTTTTGCCTAATATTTCTTCACAGCATTTGTGATATAACAAATTTGTATAAACTAATTTCTCACATTATCCCATCCTGCAAGAGACCAAATCTCAGATCCTGGCTAGTTCCACAGCTCAGCCTGGCACGATTCTACCATGGTTTGAACAAAAAGGTGAGGTTAAGTGATAAAAGTGACACTCATCGGAATACCTCAAACTGCCTTTCTTTTATTTCAGCAAAGATCTTTGGGGCACATAGAGTGCTTACCAAAACAGCCTCAACACTTATCAACCCTTCCAGTATCATGTAAGATTTGTAGGCACTTTGATATATAGTGATTTTCCAGCATAAACTTCTATTTATTTTCTTAAAAGTGGAATATGAGATGCAGCTAAGCAAAGTGAAACAAATTCTTACTGAAAAGTTTGCATGTGTATTTAACACAAGCTGAGCTAAAACAGTTAGAAGTTGCCTCCAAGAGCACTCTAAGGTGCACATACAAATAACCATTAAGTACAAGTTGTCCGAGGAAGAAAAAAGATTAAGGGTAATGCTCAAAAGTTCATCACATCCAACCTTGCTCAGAAAAGCGGCTGTAGTAGGTGAGCTACAGTTCTTCACTCAACTACCTTCCTAAAATCTACTCATGTGTTCCCTTTCCCTTAAGGGCTGATTTCTGGTTGTAAAAAAAGACTGTAGTCTTGGTCTCTGCATATCCTCCGATTCGCTCTTCTTTCATTATTAATTAATTCCTATACCCCCTCCCCCCAGTTGGCCTGAAATAACATTTAGAAGGTGTAAAGATTTAAATACCTTCCTTCAGTGAAGCATGCTAGATGGCTCTGGAGCAGAAGACAAAGCTAACTCCTGATAAAGTCTTCGCAGTTTAGCATTGAATTTTGTTTGCATCTCTTTTGTCTACCTCCATTTTTGTTGGTATGCTCTTCCCCCTCTCCTCCCTCCCTGCAACTGAATTTTTGCTGAATATCCCACATGCAATACTTGCCCATTATATCAGGAAAAAAAAATCCAAGCCAGCAGAACTCAAGCAATCTTAACAGCAATTTTAACCTGCTGAGTCATGGGAAAAAGTGTCCTAACCAGTAGCAAAAACTGTTTTTCTCAATAAGGTGAGTACTGAGAGATATGACCTCATAATTCCTCACCTTCCCACCTACTCCTAAAATACATGTACAAAGTGTAAAAGAACTGTATTTGTACAAAATTTCCACAGAATGTTTTCACTCAAGGATAAAGAACAGATTATCTATCACTACTGCAACAAAGTCTGAAACTATCTGCAACTGTAGTTACATATTACTTGACTAAATTTTCTCAAGGTAAATTCTAAAGTACTATGAGCAATACGAAGATTTAATTATGTTTTAAAATTAAACTTAAGTCATCTCTGCCATTTCCATGAAGCTATATACACAAAAGAATGTTTCAGCCACTGTGAATCATTCTATAAAGTCTGTTTGAGTTATTCTAATTTTCTAACTATTTTAACAATCCCAAGATCCATTCTAAGAGAAAGCCGTTTTCAGCTTATTTCAGCCCTTAGCTTATAACTTTTAATTTTTATACTTCTAGTAAAAATCTCTTTATTTCAGAAGTAGTTAAAGTTATGCAACATCTAAGCTAGGGGAAAGAGAAAATAAACTTCTATCAGCAGCAGACTTCATATATGAAAAAGGTATGTTTTCTCCAGTTCACAGTCAGCTCAACCAGACAAGCTCTCTCTGCCTCCCACATTGACCAGAACATTCTGCCTCCCACATTGACCAGAACATGTGCCAAGCATAAAACATGACTCTCTCCCTCTGTTGAGCTTCCTTTCAACCAGACCTTGAAAACCACACAGACAAGCAGACTCCCAATACAGTAAATACACCAGTTAGTTACCATACCTTTAATTGGTCTATCAAGATCTGTAAGTAAGCATCAGCCTCGGTAAGTTTCTTGTCAAAATCATGAACACTGGGAACAAATCCTGAATCCACACCCTAGATATAAATAAACAAATAAAAATCAAATATATAATTAGAGCTTCAGAGGAGGAAAACAGATAACAAAAATATGGTTTTGCCTGCCAACTGAAAAAATGGTGCCTTGCCTCTCACCCTGCCATGGGCAAACACAGGCACACAGCTGAACACATTTGTCTTCTATTTGCAGCTAAATCAGTAACAGTAAATTGCTACACATTTCCAGTGGGGGTATAATCATCACACACCAGATTATTTCATTACTTACGATTGAACAAATCCCCTTACATTACAGTAATTAAAGTTTCTTTGGAAAATATAAAGAAGAATTCAAGTTTTTCTGAAGACTGTCTTGTGGTTCCATATTCTTACATTTCAGTTAAGGAAGACAAAACCATACCAAATTGGATGACTGCACTTTTCACACTTCAGACAACATTGCTCAACTCACAGCTTCTCAGCTAAGAACTGAACTAATGAGTTCTCAATCTCTTCTTAAATATGGACCCATCTTTGAGCTGAAAAATCCAAAATTATTATTCCTGGTTGCCCAAGTTCCCTTACAGCTATAGTGATTTGCATCCTTGTCACTATATTTGATTTCTTATATTTTGTTGCACATATGCCAACAAGGACAAAGTATCAGTACCATGAGAATGATTACTTTTATATTTTCTTGCTTGCAAATTTGTTTCCCTTAATAATGTAAGACTCAAAGCACACTTCTGCATATAACATAATCCTTACCTTTAAACTGATAAACCATGTATTTAAAGACCCGAACAAACTCCCACTGGGTTACCACATCTTTAATTACAGGAAAGAAAGGGAGGATTCTTGAAATTGATTACTTCTGGCTTCACGCACATATGCTATGTAAACACATTTATATAATACCTTTAATGCAAATGGAACTGCAAGACAAATACTGAAGGACTCTCAGCTTAAAAAAATTTGTACAATGCAAGTTAAATATATAAATACACCATGAAAGATAAAGAAGCAAACATCAGTTATAACAGAAACATAATCCTGAGAACATCACAGCAGTGACAAGACTTTCCTACTAGCCTAAATACTTTCACCCGTATTCACATTGATCTAAAATACGACATTTTCTCTTCAAACTCTTGTGAAACTATCAACTGTGCTGTTTTGACTGCTGAGAATCTCAAGAGTCTTGAATGTGTAAAGATCAGCCAGTGGGGAAAAAACATTTCATATGGGGGAAGATGGGCAATCCATATCTGTAAAATTCCATATTAGCATAACGTTTTCTTTGACATTGTTTGCTCTGTCAATACAGACAGTTTCTTTTATTTTTGTGTGATAATGGGCCATCATATTAAGAGCTTTATTGATGGCTCTTTAAAGGTGTGAACACTTGCGTGCAATAGAGGAATGACTTGCTCTTACGCCTGTCAAGCTGTGTGCACAGTACCATGCACACCCTAAAACATAAAGCCATCTACTGACTGTAGAAGATACTATTCTTTATTCATTTGCCAAATCTTAAACTGTGCTACAAACACCCAGATCTTGACAACAGTTCTACAGGAGTAAATCTATCCATACAGATTAGATTGTAAACCAGCATAAAAAAAAAAAAGATACTTCACCCTGTATTAGAAAGTCCACACTGGACAAATTTAGAAATAGTGTTTTGAAACGAGGGAGAGGGGAGGGAGAGGGGAGGGAG